TATATATAACTGCAATATCTTCGAAATTACTCTGTATCCGTCGCTCAAATGTAAATAAAGTAATATTCGTTTAATATGGGAAGTTATTTAATGTACAAATATACATATACACAATTAGAGAATATATATTTTTATTAAATGCTTTTGCAATTGCACAGTATATAATCACATTACATATAAGGATAGATAGAATAATATCTGATTAATGTGAGAATAATCGTTTAATATGTAAATGTACATCATAATTACAAGTCTTTGTGTGTATTGAATAAATATTGCAGCAACCGCGTGAAAGAGGAAAAGAATATATATTTTAAAATATTGTAATACAATTACCCAGACAGCACAAAACGTCCTCAGGATCATCCTGAATATGTCCAGGATGGTTCAGGATATTTGTAGGATGTTTTAAGATATTATTATAAATATATTTTATGAAAATTTAATATGCATACATGATTACTTTCGGTTATGTAGGCTATTTAATATAATTTAGAAATTTTAAGTATTGTAATAAGTATTAATGTCCTATAAATGTCCCCTGGATAACCCCTGGATGTCTGCCCTGTCTATTATATTGAATGTCCTTTGGATTTCCAGAGGACATATACATGTGCAATTAACTGTTAACATTAATTTCGTTTAATATAAATATCATAATTGAATTTGATGCGCACATTTTCACATATTCAAAATTATTATTTATTTAATAATTTATGAGAAATGTTACTATGCGCAACATTCCAAAAACTTTACAAAAAATAGTATTCAACCGCTAGTTAGTTTGTTTACCGCTATGCGAAGCGCAAACTCGTATTTGAGATTTGGTCATGAGAATTATATAAAGCTTGCAAAGAGCAACTAACAGGAAATTAAAAATATAATTATTTTTTATCAGTTCAATTTTTCTGATGCAATCCCAACATAGGGAATTCAGATATTGGATTGTTTTGAAAATATTACACGACTCAAACCCGGAAGCCAAACCTAAAATATTCATGTACAGCACGAAAACCTCAAATATTAAAGAACGTGAACTATTTTTAGTATTAGATTTTTAGTATTGGCAGTAAGAGAGAGAGAGAGAGAGAGAGAGAGAATAGTTCGAGATGCGTGGCTTCAGCGTTCGCTCGTACGTAGCCGTATACAGCGCCCCTCCCACCGCTTCGCCGCGCACCTAGCGACGCTTGAGTAGGAAGTCTCTTCTCGCCGCGCGCTTGTGATTGGCCCATCTTTTTTAATTAATTTCTTAATAATTATTACGAAAATCGCAAAATGGTAAAGGACTTTTCTTCTCGGTTTCATGTGCTCTACCTGCACATGGCGGGTGATCCGCGAATTATGGGACACCCTGTATAATTAAAAATTTGGAAGTTACGAGAATATAGAAGATATAATTTAATACTAGGAATTGATTTAATTCGATTAAATATTTTATTATTTGAATATGATCCTTACCTTTCTTTGTTTTTAAATTTCTAGGCCAACGGAATCAACGTAATGTACATGCAACCGATGTTATATGGGAAAAATATCCGTTTTTTTTTTATAAAACCACTACGTTTATTTTACATTGACGCCATTTTTACGATTTAACTAAAATTTATTAATATATGTCATGCAATGTGTAAATGACTTTACTTACGTTATTTTAGAAGTATTTTATTTTGTAGAAAACATTACATGTGACAAAGAATTTGATTTTTTACTTTATACTATTTTATGTTGAGAAATATGCATACAATTGCATAGTAAGAAAAAAATTTATTGGACAATGTCTTATGAGCAATATTTATACCAAAGATGTATAAGATGATTATATGATAAATATGTCATAGCAAATAAAATAAAATAGCGATGTTAATTAGAACAGAAAATTGTTTAATAGTTTCTTTCATTTCTCTGTAAAAATAAATATTTGGTAATAAAATTGTCTAATATGCAGAACGCTTCAAATTTAATAGATAAACTTTGAAAATATATAAAGACATCCAAAAGAGATGAGAAAAAATTCAATGCGATTGCACCGAAAGTAATCATGTATGCATATTAAATTTTCATAAAATATATTTATAATAATATCTTAAAACATCCTACAAATATCCTGAACCATCCTGGACATATTCAGGATGATCCTGAGGACGTTTTGTGCTGTCGGGGAATGTAATTCTTAATGCAATTAATAATTACATTTTATAATCGTTAATTATTGCAAACAATTACATTGTATGATACAATATATTAAAAATATTAACTAAAATGTATATATTGATTAAAAAATACTAATATAGAAAAGTGTTGCATGTTAATGCCAAGAAGATATATCAAGTTATATTAATACATTTTTTTAAAAATAGAAGTGCTACTGAATTCAGAAGGATAATTAATTAAAATTGTATAATAATATAAAATAAACTTACGTATGATTACATTTGCAAGTTTTAAATCTTTAAAGTTGCGTTTAGCTTTTTTTACCAGCCCAGCTGAAGTGTCGAGCTAAAGTATTGGTTAGTACTTTTTTCAGCATGTTGCGTATCATTACATGTGGATTGCTTCCACCCACTAGTTTCAAAATATTAACCTGAAAAAATGAAATGTATAAGTAATATATAAATAATAATATATTATAATATGTAGATATTTAATAGTACCACTTTATTCTTAAATATTTCTTCCCCCAACTGCTCTTCAAATAATTGTAATTCCTCCTGTGATAATATTGGTAATTGAATATCCAATTCTTCGTTTATGTTTATTGGATGTGATATTTTCTGTTCAAGCAAATTTATTTTATTTTGCATTGTGTCCAGTTTATATAATACTTTATTTAATTTAAATACAATTTGCTTCTTAAATTCTGAAAAAAAGATATTTTATTTCATAAATTATTATGTGATTGTAGTGTTGTGTGTGCGTGCTTTGAAATATGTCCACAAAATGTCTAAGGGTTTATTCACGTTGCTTGAAATTCCCAAAAAGTTCTGCACTGAAAACGAGATAAATATATATTCGGATGCTGTAGAGAGTGAAAGCAATGATACTGAGTGCAAAAAGTTCAAGCAACGCGAACAAACCTTAAGTTTGTCAATATCACTGTTATAATAAAGAAGGATAAACAAGGAAAAAAATATTAGGATTAACAAAACGCATACCATGAGAAATATAATTTTCTTCATCGACATCAATAACGAGACTTTTTTCAGCAGAATATTCTGAACCGTTTGGAACGCATTGTCTGTAAACACCTACATATATACAAAAAGAGAGAAAGTACAGATGTTAGTACAGATTATTTATGAATAGTAAATAGTAAGGTTTATAGTTTTTACTTACCGTTCCTATTCACATTATTGGTTTTATTAGCAAAAGTTTCTTCGTGTGATCGTCCTTCGTTCTCAAAATTCTCCATAATTTTATTTATTATCGGCGTACTTGATATAAAATCTTGTAAATGTGGAAGAGCAGGTAGTTGTTTTTTCTTTTGTCGACTTTCTTTATTTTCTTCGTCTGAAGAAGATGAAAAGTGCCTTTTTGCATTTATGCGTCGTTTTTGTTTTTTCTTTTCTCTTAATTCGTTAGATGAAATGTCATTCTCTATATTAGATGTATCTTGCGCAGCAACTAATTTTTCCAGTCCCTTTTCATAAGTTTCTTTATTTAAAACAAAAAAATATGATAAATAACATATAGATAGACACACACACACACACATAAAGAAAATATGATTCATTTACCTGCTACGCCAAAAATTCTTTTTACTGGTAGTTCTTCCCAATCTAATTCATTTTTTGGTATTTCTTGTCTTATTATTGCTGTGTTAATACGAAGTTTCGTTTTATAATGACTAGGCCAAATACATGATTGCTTGTCAGCGTTATACCATACCGCTGGTATTAGCTGTAGCCCGTCATGAAACTCCACAATTATATATCCACAGTTCATTCTTCTGACAGAGTATGTAAAGAACATTGTATTTGTGTATATAAAGAAATTTAATAAGAAATATTTTAAAATAAAATAAAAGTGCACTATATCAAAGTACATGCTTTAAGGGAAATATTGCAAATATGTTTGAATCATTTCCATATGCAGTTTTCCACGCTTTATATAGTAACTCTGTAATTGGCCAGGAATATATATTATCGCTTCTTACAGTCATTACTTTAATGCCGAATTGACTTGATTCGCAAGGTTTATCATACAAATCCTTTACATATGTAAGCTTCTTACCAATGAAAAATATATCATTATTTTTATCTTTGATTATATTCAAAACCAGAATACACATGCCATTTTTCAAAATACAGCAATTATTAGCAAAACTTTTACAATTTAAATAAAATTTATCGTTAGATATCTGCAGATACTGTGATTTAACATTGTAATCACATATTGGTCCATTATTGTGCAATTTATTACATACATATAATTTTTTATTATTGGAATTACTTTTTAATAACAATGACGATACACGTTCAATCTCTTTGTATCTTTTTATTAATTGTTGTAGTGGCTTTTCATTTTTTCTCAATTGTTTTTTGATACATGTCATAAAGTTTTCAAAACGAAAGGCACTGAAATTATCGACTTGGCCAAATGTTCTAACATCAGAACATAAATGTAACAAATTATGAACATTATGTGATATGTATTCTTTACCATATAATACTTCAAAAGATACGACAAAATTGTGAAGTAAAGCTTCAGCAAAATTTAAAAAATATCCTTGGCAAAAGTTTGGACACGAAATAATTGTCATAGCTGCATGGAGTGTGAGAAAATGATTATATGAGTCATTCTTTAATATATGACGTAATACTATAGGTCCTGTATATAAAAGGAAATATCTAAACTCTACTGCTTTCCAATGCTTAATATCGCTGATAGGTCTTGGCTTCCTAACAAATTCTTTTGGCGTTGAACTTTTAATTAAAAG